AACAAGGGGTTACTATCTTTGTAGAAGTTAATAAGCCTACAAAGATAGTAACCCCTTGTTGAGGAGGTAATGATACTCTTTGCCGAACTAACATTTATTACCCTGGCGGAGGAGTAGGATATCTATGATAACCCCAAATTTGTGACGTCTCAACGTCTCAGCCTGCGAGTCATGCCCAATTTCTTGATTCAGGACTTCATGACAACCCAACAGATATCAATCCACTTAGTAGACCCTCCATGAGTATCGGTGGTGGTCATAGGCACCAAGTTTAAAGCTGCAGGTGATCGGCAAATTGTCCATCGATGACAAGACCATATGGAGAGCTCCTTAGGAGCAGCTCGATACCCCGTATTGACGACGAGCGAGTTCGGATACATCGGGCCTGAGTTGTTGCGATACTCTTCTTCCTGGTTTGTGAGAACGATCCGATGAGCCGGTGCACTTTGGCCGTGGTCTGAGAGGCAGCTGTGGTGCTGATTTGTATGTATGCTCCGGTCTCGAATGACATGGAGCGATGCGTGATTTGCTTCCGTACGAAGCGCAGGCAGCAATCATAGATAGTCCTTCTTTCGGCTGGTACGGGTATACTGGTTGAGGTGCCACTCAACATCGCCATCCTTGTTCTCCAGCGTACCGCCTCTGATCTCAAACAACCTCATTGTCATGCGAGGTCCAACCTCACTAAGCTCGCAGCTATCATAGCTCGTACGGACGTACACATGCTTTGAAAAAGACCTGTTAGCGCAAGTTCCATGATCCCATGACCAAAATGTCGGGTACCAAGATGATAAGGAGAGACTTGACTTACATGGCGTACTTCGATAGCATCGTCGATGTTCTTGAAAGTCACAATTCTTCCGCTCTTGGCCTTGGTCGTGACTGTGGGCTTCGGAGGGAAAAGATGCTTCAAAACCTTGACGACTCGCTGACCAAGCGGGGTTGTGAAGCCCTCAAAGATCAGGTTTGGATAGCTCTCAGAGACAGTTCCACGCAGGGAGTTGGGAATATCTAGTCTGAGAACCACATTGTGTAGAGAAAAAGATACCTATATTTGTCAATCAACATGCCCTAAAGTCGCTGTATTCAAGTTCCATACCGTCGGTCCATGTGGCAAGTGAGATATCGATAGAGCAGTAGGAGTACCACGGTGTTCATGTAACAGGCAAATATCACTTAAGCCAGCGCCTTTCGCAGAGTTGACGAGATCGGGCAAGATAAGGTTTCCTCGGTTGAGACGAATCGCAGTTGGTAGCATTAACCTGATCTCCTTTGCAAAGGCTGCAAGGCGACTCGAAGGGTCTCTTGATGTTGTAACCAGGACTCGTGGGTCGACAATTCCGGACATGGCGCTATACTCGTCATCTAGATCTAGCTCTTCCCTGAGGCTCCGGTCCGCTCGCGACTCGTCATATTGGAAATCTTTTCGCAGTCCCTTGTCATTGGCAATGGCTGGATCTAGGGGTCGTCCGGAAGCAAGAGACTCTCTCAGTTTCGCTCTCTTTTCGCTGACCTCGGCCTCCTTGAGTAGAAGGGCTTTCCGGTAGAGGTAATCCCGGCGCTGTCGAGCTTGTTTGCGCTACAAAGGATGTGTCAGTCATTGAGTGAAGAGTCTGGGAAATGCAAGCTTGGGCGAGTCTTACAATCATATTGGCTGTGCTGGGAATTGTTCTCTGGACCCTTCCAACATATGATTATGAGAAGTTTTGATGTCTCTGGAGGAGTATCGTACCTGCAAGCCCAGGGTGGACCCTTGACGCCTCCAGAAAAAAAGCGAGCCGCCGCAGGAAATTTTAGTGGGGTGGCTCTCTTATCGCGGTTCCCTATCACACGTGATGGTCCCTCCTCCAGCAAATTCGGCGCCGGAATGGGACCTTGCAGACCAGAGTTCCCCACCAACGACACAACCTTCGTGGTAACCCAAAGGTGAGAGGAAGGCAGGCCAGCAGATCTTGATTTCTAAAAGAAACTGCGACGCTGCAGTTATTGCGACTACTTCCGATATGATGTGACAGTGCCGTCTCACTTTACACATCTCCCATACTTCTTACAGACACGACAGCCGAACACGGCAACCGGGAGGAGTGGCAGAAATTCTAGAAGGCTGTACGTTCAATTTCGAGTCACCGGCGACTTACCGTCAGCCTTTCGCCTCCTTGGCTCTTATAAACCCATACCCCATGCTGAGCCTCGCTTTATATGGAAAATAAGCTGACTGGATCTGTTCAGCAGGGAAACCTTTTCCTTGACATACAAGTTTGCGACACCATGGATGCCGGCGCCTTCAACCATCTGGGCAACCATCTAATCTCCGATTCTGCCGACACGATCAAGGCTGATGGGGCAGATGAGCTCTCTAATATCGACCCAGACGAAAGCTTACTCTACGGCAAATATGGCGGACGCGGCGGCCTCGGCAACGCCCGCAGACGCAACGACGACGATGACAACGAAACGGAGGTTTTCGACGATGACGACGACGAGAGCCTTGCGAGTGCGGCCCTCGGGGGAATGAAGAGGCTGAATCTAAGAAGACCCGAGGAAGAGAAGGAGCTGCCTGCTCACGCTTGCGCGTAGGTGGTCCTTCGAGATTTTGCCATTCCGGGAAATATGCTGACAGCGTACTAGATACTGCGGAATTCACTCACCAGCGTCTGTTGTCAAGTGCCTCGGCTGCAATAAGTGGTTTTGCAGCGCCCGTGGAAACGCTACGTCTTCTCACATTGTCAATCACCTGGTCCGCGCGCGACACAAGGAGGTTCAATTGCATCCTCAATCGGCTCTTGGCGACACAGTCTTGGAATGCTACAACTGCGGAACGAAGAACGTTTTCCTGCTGGGATTCATCCCCGCCAAGTCCGACACAGTCGTGGTGCTGCTGTGCCGACAGCCATGCGCCGCTAACACTTCTTCTAAGGACATGAGCTGGGATATATCGAGATGGCAGCCCCTCATCGAGGACCGATCCTTCCTAAGCTGGCTCGTGGCCCCACCAACTGATGCTGAGCAGCTCCGTGCTCGACATCTGACACCTCCAACCATTGCTAAGTTAGAAGAGATGTGGAAGGCAGATGCCAATGCGACCGTGGCAGACCTCGAGAAGAATGCAAGCGTCGACGATGACCCGCACCCTGTACTTCTCAAGTATGACGACCCTTACCACTATCAAAATATTTTTGGTCCTCTTGTGAAGATGGAGTCCGATTACGATAAGAAACTCAAGGAAGCGCAGTCCGAGGATGGCCTGGTTGTCAAGTGGGATTATGGTCTTAACAACAAGCACTTGGCGAGCTTCATTCTCCCAAAGATTGAGTCCGGAGATGTCAAACTAGCTGTTGGTGATGAGATGCGTCTTAAGTACAAAGGCGAGCTTCGACCTCCGTGGGAAGGTGTCGGATATGTCATCAAGATCCCGAACAACCAGTCAGATGAAGTCACTTTGGAATTGCGCAAGGGTGGAAGCGACAAGTCGGTTCCTACCGAGTGCACCCATAACTTCTCGGCAGATTACGTTTGGAAGGCTACGTCTTACGACCGTATGCAAGTTGCCATGAAGACTTTTGCCGTCGACGAGCTGAGTGTATCGGGCTACATCTTCCACAAGCTTCTTGGCCACGAAGTTGCCGTTGCGCCAATGAAGACACAAATGCCCAAGAAGTTCAGTGCCCCTGGCTTGCCTGACCTGAATAACAGCCAAATCAATGCCATCAAAGCTGTCCTTTCGACACCGCTCAGTCTCATTCAGGGACCACCCGGAACCGGCAAAACGGTTACATCTGCGACGATTATTTACCATTTGGCCAAGATGAACAACAGCCAGGTTCTTGTCTGCGCTCCTTCCAACGTTGCTGTGGACCAGCTTTGCGAACGTGTCCATCGTACAGGTTTGAAGGTTGTTCGACTCACCGCAAAGTCCCGTGAGGATGTCGAGTCGTCCGTCAGCTTTCTTGCTTTGCACGAGCAAGTACGTATGAATGATACCAATGTCGAGCTCATGAAGCTCGCTCAGCTCAAGCAAGACGCTGGTGAACTCTCATCTCAAGACGAGAAGAAATTCAAGCAACTCACCAAAGCGGCCGAGCGCGAGATTCTCAACAATGCTGATGTTGTCTGCTGTACTTGCGTTGGAGCGGGCGATCCTCGACTATCAAAGATGAAGTTTCGAAACGTTCTGATTGATGAGTCTACTCAGTCCGCCGAACCTGAGTGCATGATTCCTCTCGTTCTAGGTTGCAAGCAAGTCGTACTTGTGGGTGACCACAAGCAGCTGGGCCCTGTTATCATGAACAAGAAGGCTGCCAAGGCTGGATTGAACCAGTCTCTCTTCGAGCGTCTTGTGAAGCTGAGCTTCGTGCCTATTCGTCTGAATGTCCAGTACCGAATGCATCCATGCCTTTCAGAATTTCCCTCGAACATGTTCTATGAAGGATCTCTTCAGAATGGTGTCACTATTCAGCAACGACTCCGCCGTGACGTCGATTTTCCCTGGCCCGTAGCGGACACACCTATGATGTTCTGGTCTAATCTGGGCAACGAAGAAATTTCCGCCTCCGGAACATCGTATCTGAACCGAACAGAAGCATCCAATGTTGAGAAGATCGTAACACGCTTCTTCAAGGCTGGAGTGAAACCAGGCGACATCGGCGTTATTACTCCATACGAAGGCCAACGAAGCTACATCGTTAGCACCATGCAGAATACCGGAACCTTCAAGAAGGAGAGCTACAAGGAAGTTGAGGTTGCTTCAGTCGATGCTTTCCAGGGACGAGAGAAGGATTTCATTGTTCTCTCTTGTGTTCGATCCAACGATAACCAGGGCATCGGTTTCCTTTCTGATCCTCGCCGCCTCAATGTTGCGCTTACCCGAGCGAAGTATGGCGTGGTCATCATCGGAAACCCGAAGGTTCTCTCCAAGCACGAGCTGTGGCACCATCTCCTCGTTCACTTCAAGGACCGCAAGTGCCTTGTGGAAGGCCCTCTCACCAACCTCCAGACATCTTTACTGCAATTCGGTCGGCCCAAGACAAGCTATCGTCCTCAGCGCTTTGCACAACAACAGCAGCAGCAACAGCAACAGCCGCAGCAGTATGCTTCTAGTAGCTACTCGAATGGACGTTTCAACGGTGGCATGAACGGCTCTGTTCGAGACTTCGACTCAGGCTCGATGATGTCTTACATCCCTGATGATGTCTCGTCTATTCACAGCTCTGCTCTGGGTGGTGCTGGGATCAGTTCCGCTTACCCTCACATGTTCTCCAACTTTAGTCCTGAACAGTGGCCCGGACTCCCTGGGGTCGGCCCAGCTGGTCGCTCAGGAGCCAAGAGTCGCGGCCGTGCTACTGAGAGCATTGCAGGAGAGAGTGTTGCGAACTCTGAGTTTACCGATGCCAGCTCCAGCATAATTGGTGGCAAGGGTGTTGGACAAGGTGGCGCGAGTCTCGGAGCGGGATTACAGGAGGCAATCGGTGCTTCACGACCAACTTCCTATAGCCAAAGCGACCGATTGAAGCAGTACGTCGAGAGTGGTGGACGGATGGGTCCAGGCAATGGATTTGGTCGCCGGTATGATGACGATGAGAAGAGCGTTAGCACGGCCTTCGCCAGCCAGATCGGCGGCTCGGGATACGACTGAGGACTCTACTCACGCGGATGATACCGCATCGGACTCTACTCTGATCGATGACATCGGCGTTGTTTACTTCCAAGGGGGAACGTCCTACGCCATTCTCGCCCGTCAGCAGCGGAAAGCAAGCTCGACGAGACGCAGACAGCTCGTCCTCCGCGCAGGACGTCTTCTAGGGAAAGCCTACGGGAGGACTCTCAGCATAGCTAGCAGAAGCCATTCTGATCTGTCGTAATGACAGGGACTGGTCAAGTGAGCTAGACGTCATTGGTCTACGTGTTGATGGCCTGCCAAAGTACCCGTATGCCTCGACGCCAGGAAGCTCGGCGAAGGCAATTGCAGATTGTTCAGTTTGGTGATGTCGGACTACATCAGCCACGTCTTTATCGCTGGCACGCGATGGGGCGAGATGTGAGCACTTATTATGAGCGCCTCTCTTCACCCAGGGCCGCACCCACAACATTCATTTCAATATTGCTAGATTTGGGGCTTATCAGGCTTAGTTGGTCTTCCGCCTCTGATCTCTGGTGGAAGAGCACCACAGCCAAGACAAGATGTGAAGATGAGCATCCTTCTAGTTGCAGCAATACTTTAGGGGGAAGTCAAGTCAGATAGTTGAATCACACACACTCGTTTTGCACCACCTTGATACGATGACACGTGCCTGGTAAGATTTGTACCGCCCACCTTTTTCATTGCTGGATGATACTCCACGACGCCGTTGTTTGCGAAGTAGTCTAATTCAACGACATACCCAAGCTCGATTGGAGATTCGAGACATTACACTTGCAGATAGAGGATAATGATTGAAAGTTGCGGTCTGGGAAATGTCTCTTCACTCTAATCAGGCGTCTGACAAGTCCAGCTTTCAAATGGGTGTGAAGAAATTGGGTGGTGGTTAGTGCTTCAGTCCTCAGTCTGAAGGGACTCGTTTCCAGGGGTTAAAGCCAGAACATGACCTCACACACAAGTGAAACCCAGGGCAGTGGCCTGCCTGCTGGCGGGAAACGCCCGATGGGAGGCCATGGGAAGACCCCTGGTGGAATCGCAGATCACTCCAACTTGTCTGAGCTCTACCTCACAGTAGCGATGACACGTTAGCCAAGCTCGTCAGTGCATCTGCGCGCGCGGGGCGTTGCGCTGGTGGCCGCCACTACTGCGTACTATGTAAAGGTAACCTGCTAGGTATGGCACATGTAGCTTGGCTGGCTGATATCTTGATCTGGGGCTGACAGTCGCAGCAGCTGGAACAAGGGCCATGCGGACGACCAGGGGGGCGCAAGCAAGAAAAGACCCTTATAACACGATCGTAGGCAAGGTCTGCTGCACCTCATCCACGGGCACTCACACAGTCTTTCTGGGCTGACATCTCGTATTTCTGAACCTCGTCTCCTGTCGATAAAGCCTGTGCTCCAGTGGCTTGACAGACGACTAAGCGCTTGGATTATACCGGATTGCTTTTCCTAAGCACAATAAACGGTAATCTTCACCCCCTCAAAACCCTTTTGTCTTCTCTCTCGAATTATTCCCCGAATCATAATATCATTGGCCTACTGGATCCTCAAAATCGTATTGTGCCTGTAAAATGGTTGCATCTTCGAATCCTACAGAGGCCGCCAAGCCTGGCACCCCACCGCCCACTGAACCAGCACTTCCCAGTGAACAGGAAGCGCCGCCAGTGACGACAGAAGCGTCACAACCCACAGCGGCGGCCACCGAGACAGCTCCCGCGCAGAACTCCAGCGAGTCGCAGACCACAAAAGCTCCCGAAAGCGCTCCAAATGCCTCATATGCAGCGTGTGACCTACCCGAAACGAAGGAGCAGAAAGACTTTAGCGGCGAGGTCGAGACGAACAATGACCTGCCCTCCGTCGAGACACAGCGCAAGATCGAGAACTACGTGGTGCTAGATCGCCATGGCAAGACGCACACGTTCAAGAGCCTCTACAGCGGCCGCAGTGTTGCCAGGAGAGTGCTCGTCATCTTCATCCGCCACTTCTTCTGCGGTGTAAGTCGCAAGCTTCGCGCCCCTAGTCCAGGCGCCAGTCCACTGACAATGCGGCCTGCTGCACACAGAACTGCCAGGAGTATCTACGCACCCTGACCGCCTCCATAACGCCCGACGCCCTCCTGGGCCTGCCGGTCAGCACGTTCATCGCCGTGGTCGGCTGCGGCGACCCGGGCCTGATCGACTCGTACACGGCCGCGACGGGCTGCCCGTTCCCCATCTACGCGGACCCGACGGCGAAGCTCTACTCGGAGCTGGGCATGGTCAAGACGCTGGCGCTCGGCTCGCGCCCGGCGTACATGAAGAAGTCGCTGCTCAAGGGCTCCATCGAGTCGATCATCCAGGGGCTCAAGCACATCCCCACCGGGCTGGCGTTCAAGGCCGGCGACCAGAGGCAGATTGGGGGCGAGTTCCTCTTCGAGCCCCTGAATATCTTGTCTCCCTACCCCATCACGCCTGCGCGGGAGCACGACAAGCAGCTGGGAAACGGCAGCGCGAACGGAGCAGCGACAGATGATCCGACGGCGACGACTCACGACAAGCCGACCAGCTTGCATGAGGACGAGGAGGAGGGCCAAGTCGAGGAGAAGAGGATCACTTGGTGCCATCGCATGAAGAGCACGCGAGATCATGCAGAGGTCCCAGAGCTGATGGAAGTCCTGGGGCTAGACGGGCAGGGAGAGCCGATTAAGGATCAGAAGCGGTGGTCGAAGGCGCTGCGGGAGAGGAAGGGGACGGGACTCAGCATGGCTTCTCAGATGAGCCAGATCAGTCAGATGAGGGCCAGCACCGCGCCAAGCTCGGAATGATCCTTTTTGCATATGATATACGTTCAAGGCTCTCAACATGTCGACGTCTTTCAGTAGTCTTTGGTAAGCATATGGTTAGCGGGTCACGGTGTGTTTTGCTCTGGGGAACATGACAAGATTGAGTATTAGCTCAGCAATTGATACCTATTTTAGCTATTTACACCATCGTGGGTGAAAATTGCCTCTGTTGATGAGCAAGGCGCTCCATCCCTTGAGAGCATGCAGAGCTAGAGTATCACAAGCCGAGACGATTGTCTACAAGCGGCCTGGCACAGCTGCTGTCAACGTCAGACACGGGTAGCTGCCGCGGGAGATCCACATGGAGAGAATGTTCGGTTTCATGACCTAGCCGAAGACCTCGTGAAGATGCTGGATGCCGGTTCTCCTTGGCGGGTTTCCGGATGCCTGCTTTTCAGGATGCGTGTTTGTCACGACTCGACGCAGTTCTCACTTGGCTGTGCTCTCCCGGGGAGGAGGGTAGCCGAAGTCGATGGCAACACAGTGTCTCCGCATGTAAAACGGTCTCTTGTACACCTAGAAACCTGACGGCTGTCATATAAGATGGCAGCAAAGGCAGTTTACATCGCCTTGAGGCTATCACAGGGACTCTATGGCTCTCGGTACCAGGAAACCACCGATTCAGGATGGCACCATGCAACATTCAAGTGCACAGCGAGATGTATGGTCTCGGTATCAGGGTCGGGTTCTACATACAATGGTTCGGAATCATCATTGCGTACTGGCTCGGTGAGTCGTCGATCCAAGACCTCCGCGTGCTGAACACATTGTGTGTGTTTGCGGCCTCCGTGGCTCTCATCATCCAGACTGCCTTGAATACCATGCATGCTGCTGAGATCTATATCGTCCTCCTGCTCGTATTCGGGCAGTTCTACTTCGCTATACCCCTTTACTTGTGGAGGCTGATCACAGGCTGCAACCCTCGCTGGAACCTCTCTCGATGGCCACAAGCTCCCAGCAGTCCCGTCTTCCGGTTCCTGACGTTTATCCTATTTGTCGTCCTGTTGGGCTATCAGATGTGGTTTTGGACTTCCGCTATTCGAAGGCTGCGCACAGAGTGTGATCAGTATGGCTTTCTCTTCACAAAACTTCCTCTGGACAACCCCGGGTTCATCGCAGTAAACATCATGTTCAATCTCGCTCTCCTACTGGGCGCCCTTTGGGTTCTCTGCATTACGACTGGTCTTGTCAAAAGCAACAAGAGGAAGCGCAAGAGGAAGTCTAAGTACGCACAAGCCTTGCCCAGTCGGAGTCGACTTGCCTGACAATACCACTGACTGCCGGTGACAATGACAGAAAAGTCCAGAACGAGGCGCTCCAGGAGCTGCAAACACTATTTGACCTCGCAGTGGCAATCATCATGATCACCGCCGTGGAACTCGTCATACAGTGGAATCACCTGCAGAGATCAAATGGCATGTCTACGGTGGCTCAGCTTCTCCCCACGATCGTCAGTGCCGGCGTCTTGATGCGCGTTTTCTTCCTGTGGTTGGCTGGAAGAGGCGAGTCCGACGGTAGCGAATCTTCCAGACCGTCCTCAAGGCCGCGCTCGCCGCCTCCTATCCCGTTTCACTATCCTCGGGATCCAGGAGGAGGCGGTGGAGGGGCCACAGGTGTTCGAGAAGATGATATCATTGTTGACGAGGAAGCCTCGGATATGGACGTGTCAAGCGCTGCTACGTCTCTGCGAGGTAATGAGGACAATATCCCTGGCCCAGCTGCCCTTCACCATCAGTTTCCTCCTCAACCGCCGCCGCCGCCGCCACCACCACAGGATGGGCGACCTCCTCCTCCGCCTATGCCAGTATACATGCCCGGTCCGATGCCAGGGGGAATGCCTCCGCCGCCGCCACCGCCGGGCCCTATGCAAGGAGGAGGTGGTGGCGGTCGCCCTCCACCACGGCCTATCTGAGCCTGGCCGGGATCGTACCGTATCCCTAAACTAGAATCTATATCAGAGGCAAATTCTGATCTCCAATATAGGGTGTATTCTTTTGTTGTGTGGAGAGATGTATAGCTTAGTCTATACTACGTAGAGTTGTAATTAGGGTCTGGGCTTTTGCAAGGCATTCAGGGGTTTGTCAAAATGAGTTCATGATCTCATGACACTTCATTACTAGCCCACAACAAACCCGGACAAGGACACGAAATTGGGAGACCGACAGCATTATCATTTCAGATTTCATTGGTTTGACAGCAAGGACCTTAGTGTACTATATATTAAACAGATGGTGGCCAGTTCAGTGCCATGTGTTTGCCGTCATGCTTTTCTGACCTCGTTTATGAGACTACCTCCTCTCTTTGTCGTATGCCTCTAGTGACCGCCAATGTGCGGCAAGTGGAAGTTTGGCGTGCTCAAATTGAGCAGCTTATCAAAGAGAGGCGTGCCAAGTCCAGTAACGGGGTCCCATCCCACGGTTGCGTTCCAAGACGCATACGGAACGAAAGGTGTGGGCAGGCCGCTGTACACGTCTGTGCCAGTGCACCCAGTAGATCCACCGTGCACAATATCCGTCAGCCCGTTAAAACCAACGGTATACAGCCAGGGATTCAGGAATCCCATGGGCGGCAACTTCTTTGCGAGACGGGCGTTGTTCAGCAGCGAGACAAGCGCGGCGAACATCGGTGCAGAGGCACTTGTGCCAGAGTACATGACGTCCTTGCCGTAGTCGAAGACGTGGTATCTGACACTCTGTCCGGAGACGTCAGGGAAACCGCGGCCGTGAGGGTTATAGAGGCCCTTCCAGCGATCGCCGAGGATCTTCAGGTAGCCAGAGACAGCGCCCTTCTGGTAGAGTGGCGTAGGGAAGATGTCCGAGAAGCCTCCAGACGAGAAGGACACAGCGACTTCCGGGTCGACATAGCGAGTGCCTCCAACCGAGGTCACATAAGGGCACGCAGCAGGGAATATAGGCAGGAAGCGGGTGGTGTTCTTGCCGTCGTTGGTCTGGCACGCTGAGCCGACACCGGTATCACCAGAGGAGAAGATCACAGACACGCCTCGGGCACCGAGCGCGCCGAACATGGTGCAGACCTTCTCCACGTAGGAGCGTGGAACGGATTGCTCATCCTCTCCGTACGAAGTTGTGATGGTCTGCGGCAATTTGGAGTCGGGCAGCTTGAGAAGGTAGCTCACAAAATCAAGGTACGGCTCGTTTGAGACGTCGTTGGGATCAGGTTGGTCGAGATCTGGAACAAGAGGTCCTCGACCCCCAGTTGAATAGTATGTGATTGGCGTCTTGTATGCCATGCTGACAGCATACTGCATATCCAGGTTGGCTTCTCCATCATCGATCGTACTGGTCTGGTTGTCGCCTCCGCCATTGATGGTCACGACGCTGAAGTCGGCACCGATAGCATACGGAGCGTAGGTCTGCTCAAACTTGGCCAGCTGATCGTGCTTGGCATATTGCTGTTATCAGATGAGTAAGGGCCATGTCATGGCACTAGAAACTAATTTTCACTCACCTCCAAGTAGCCACAGACTCCGAAAAGAGACTTCTTCGATGGGTCCGCCTCGTAATCACCAACGTTGTAAAGCGCTCGGAGGCACTCGGGGGTGATGCTGGCATTGCAAGCGGTGACGTTAAGATCCACAGATGGGATAGCGGCGGCCTTGATGGTGCCAATAGACGGGGTCTCCTCGACTTTCTCATGCGAGAAGATGTGGCTCATCTGAGGTCTCAACTGACCGAAGCGGATGATGGGAGCAATCATCTTGACGTGAGGGACGATCTCCTCAGGCACGGAATATGCCAGAGCTCGAATTCGATTGACCTCGGTGCCTTCCTGGGCGAAGAGACCGAAAGTCGTGTTCAGCATGTCGTTGGCTTGGGCGACTGTCGTCTGGATGTTGATCCAGTCGCTGTCGTCCTCAATCTGCGAGCCAGAAAGCCCAGCGTCTTGCAGCCAAGCGATGACAGCAGCAGTTGACTCCTCGCGAGGTGCCATAATATCCCGTAACTCGTGGCTCTTGAGATGCTGGCCATATTTTGGGTGATCCGGTGACGAGATGTCGTAGAGGGTCTGCTCGAACAGGTCCAGGTTAGGCTGCTCAAGCGCAATGCGCAGCTTGATGGACTGCTCGGGGTCCGCATCTCGAAGCCTCTTCCAGCCCTGAGGGACCTCTCGCAATGACTCCAACACCACATCGCTGCCCTCCACAAGCGACTGGAGAGCAGCAAATGCTGTGCAGAAGAGCAACTGGCTACGCATTTTTACGGTCCTTCTGCTTGACCGTAACGCTTCGAGATGAGAGAGCCGTGACAGAGCTTCACACTAGTCGCCTCACCTACGAGAAGGAGGTAAACGAATGAGTGAGCGGACAATTGAATGCGCTCTGGCAAAAGAAGGACAAGGCTGCGAGAAGCTGTCAAGGGCGGCCACCTTCAGCTATATATATATGACCGATGCCCTGAGAGCTCTTGCATGATTGACCATGGTGTCGCCTGGGAACCTGATATAATCGCATCGTATAGCAGGGCTGGCATGCCGCTCTGCATGCCACCCCGTGTACCTTCCCTCGGCGGTATAATTCCTCCTACCTATCAAGGCGCGCATCGTCGAGCGCCCCGGCCGCCCTGTGCCCTGCCGCAAAGCTTGAGAAATGAAGATCGGAGGGTGAACTGCATTTAGCTGCCCGATTGGGTTAAAGGGGGGACAGTACCGTAAAGCAGACATCCCGGCAGCCGATCTGACCATGCAATAAGGTGTGGCTCCCCGGGTCGCCAAGCGTGGGGCATTGGTGGCATCTTCCAGGGGGCAACTAGGGCATTGCCGAGGCGTTGGGCAGGGGTTCGCAGGCCATTCGTTCCGGAGGCTGCGCTAAGGGAAAACACCTGCTCAATCTTGGAAGTTAAAGTTGGTCGACAATTCTATTATCGACGAATCAGAAGTCAGGAGGTGGCAAGATGATAGGAGATACACCTGGCTAAGTGTGCATTGAAGCCGCAAGCTCGGGTCTGGACTAATTGCGAAGCCAAGTTGCACACAGGGAGCCTCAGGGTAATTCATCCAGATGCTACTTACTTGGTACGCAACGCCAAGTCAATTTGATATAGTGCTTGTGTGACGCTGGTGTGTAAAATACCAAGCCGGCTATAATGTTCACATTAGAAGAGAATTTAGGTATATTTATGACCAGACGATGAAAGAAGGTCAAAAGAGGCGTTCTGAGGTCTCCCAACAGAGACATGTTTAGTAACCGTGCATCGGCCGTTTGAATGCGATAAGGGCCACTAACACCATGGCGTTTTGTCGAGAGTCCACGGTGTAAGTTGACAACTCTATGGCGCATTAGAGGCCGCATTGAATCAAGACTATGACATTGTGCTTTATTTATAGACTACTCAAAGAACCAGTTCCTGAATCCATTTTCAACTAAGGTCACAGGCCATACTCATTAGTTTCCCTGCCTCATTCATGGTGAGCTGTCAAGCAAGGGTAAAGGGTGAGAAAATAGGGGACTGACGTAAGATGCACAATAACCACAGGCGCAAATCGCACCGCGGACAAGACCTGAGGGTTTTTTTTTCGAAGTACAGGGTTTCTAGAAGCACGGGTCGTTACCTCTTCTACTTGGCACACATACGTATCACTCTAGCAGTGTTCGAGAAGTTGGGAAGGTGTGTTTGGGTGCCAAATTCGCTGCCTGGAACATGAGTGATCGTGGCTGATGGGTCAAGGTGAGAGATCGTGTATTGAAGGCGCTAGCTAGGGCTCTTATTGTTGTAGGGAAAGATAGCCCTCTAGGTGGCATCGTGTGTCTGCAGTGGAGGGAAGAGGTTCCGAGGTCATGGACAAGAAACACCGGTGCATAGCTTAGGAGAAGGTAAAATGCGGAAGATGAGCTAAAAAAATGTTCAATTAAAGCCCGAAGTCTTGCCCTCGATTGTGTCGCAGAGTTTGTATGCAATGGTGCTCTACAAGGAAGGAGCAGTTTTATCAATCGTCTGGTTGAGGTCGCGACTGCCTTCTTTCTCACTGTGAGCACAACGCCTTCCCTGCGTAGTCCTTCACACCTTCCCAATGTCCTAGACGAGGACTCTATTCTATTTGGCGTGAAGTTCTTAGTTCTCTTCTCGACGTTGTCGTTGTTCCTGTGCAAGTTAAATACTCCTCGTCGAGTCTATGCAACGCCATATATTGTAGTACAAACTGCGAGAGACCAGCCGTCACCGAGAAGGGTTCAGATAATCTGAAAAGATGCATCAATTCGAAAGAACTCCTGGCATCTGGCAGCACCCCACACCACAGCAGACATTTCCCGAAGTCGAGTCTGGAAAACCAAAGCATGACTACCTCCGCCAACGTCTTCGCTCCTTACCTCCGGAGAAGGATGTCTCATCAGAACCTGCAACTGTTGACGTCGCAGCGGCATTCTTTAGTCGCTTGAACAAGCCCGCCCAGATTGTCAAGCCGAATACCAATTTCCTGCATCTAACCCCAGCGACTATCTCATCGAGCGGCAGCGCCGAGGATTTGTCCCTCCTAGATAAGCTGAAGCGTATGTATCTTGGAAGTACCTATGTTCCTCAACTTACACAAAGCTAGGCGAATACAGCTTGTATGCGGCTGAGCTTCATGAGGAGACGGTGAATCGCCTCCAAGGGGTACACTCCAAGCTTGGGGCCGTCGCTTCCTCTACTAGGGACCAGGACGAAGCTTTCCTTGCCGCTATTACAGGAAAGAAGAGCCTTGTTCGCTCTCTCAACGCATGTCGCACCCAGTATGAGTGCATAGATGAAAAGACTGGCCGAAAATCCACGGAGGTCGCGAGTATCGGCGAGTGCATCGGGTCCTCTGCAAAGCGTCTCACAGTACTCGAGACAGAGGTCCAGCAGCTGTGGGACCAATGGGAGATTGCGCAGAACGAGATCTTATCTATTCTAGGAGAAATGGCGAGCAAGGAAGTTCGGGGTGGTCATCATCAGAATGGAGACGTTAATGGAATCCCCATACTGTCAGCTACAACTTACGCTGAGTTCAACAAGGACTTCAAGGATATGGAGATGGAGTGGGAGCACATGGCACAAAGCTTCATGAAAAAGGCCAAAGCAACAGAGAATGTGAGTGTTCGACCACACGCTCCTAACCCGAGTGTAAGTGCTTTCGCTGATATTGGCCCAGAACGCATACAAGGCTGGGTGCGGTGCTATCGCTGGTCTGGTGCAGCAAAAGATGCTAGCTGATTGAATTTTCTATACTCAGCTGTATCTCACAAAAGGTGTCTTATAACGCGAGCCCACTACGTCCTGGCGCAATGGGTTTTGCTTTTCTTTGCGCATCTTAGTCATGGCTTGATCAATGTTCTGTTCCCGTGTTGGTTGTGGAATGTACCGCAGGGTCTTAGTAAGTACTCGGGTTTTAATGAATTCAAATATTGTCGCGGTAGCTATGCAACAATCAAAATTACAATAGCAGTGCCGATTGGGCCATTAATTCAACGTTATCTCATTAATCTATGCTGAAGGCCATCCAGACCATATACACAACTCGATGAAGTCAACAGTGACTGCTACACTTTTACTTCTTGCCCGAATCCTTTTTAACGCCAAAAAAATGCAAGATGCCTTGCAAGCCTCACAATGCTTTTGCAATGAACGATTAAATCTCCTCTTGGACAACAACGCCCCAAGGGTGCTGCTCGCCTCCATACATGATATCCTTCATCCACTGCTTCAGCTGCAGCGTGAACTTGCCGCCCTCGCCCTCGCCCATGGGCAACTGCACGTCCTTTCCGCGGTGATGGACCAGAGACACGGGAGTGACGAAGAACTGATAAGCATCAATGTCAGCAATGATTTTCGAAAGCAGTTACGGTTCTGACATAAGACGGCGCCACCAAATATCACCAAGTGAAAGAAAAGGGGCAGAAAAAGAAAATGCTTACCGCAGTGCCAGCCGCAAAGGACTCCACCAACCGGCCCTCCGCGTCCGCCTGGATAACCTCATCGATGGTATACCGCCTCTCGACGACCTCGAGGTCGTCGCCCAACCGCTCGCGCGCCAGCTGCAGGATACTGCGGCGGGTGACGCCGTCCAGAATCAGCCGGTCGTCCAGCGGCGCCGTGACGAGCTGCGTCTTGCCCGAGGCGGCGTCCTTCCAGACGACGAAGAAGTTGCTGGCGCCCGCCTCCGTGCAGTACCCCTGGGGCCCGTACAGCCACAGGATCTGGCCGAAGCCGCGCGCGCGCGCCTCGTTGGTCGCCAGCAGCGAGGGCCCGTAGTTGGCGCCGACTTTGGCGTAGCCGAAGCCGCCGACCCACGCGCGCACCATGTCCTCCGGGCTGGTGTGCAGCTTCATGCCGCCGGGGGGCGCGTCCATCTTGGGCATGAAGGTCGCGATGATGTAGAGCAGCGCCTCCTTGGGCGCCTGCACGCCCAGCTGCGGCTGCGTGCCGATCAGCGTCGGACGCAGGTACAGGAAGGAGCCGGGCCGGTCGCGCGGCAGCCACTTGGGCCCGTCGACGGCCATGAGCGCCAATAGCAGCTGCTCGAGTTGCTCTGGGTCGAAAGCGGGCAGGGAGATGCGCACCGCGGACGTGAGCATGCGCCGCGCGTTGCAGTCTGGCCGGAAGAGGCGCAGCTTGCCGTCGAAGCCGCGGTATGCCTTGAGGCCCTCGAAGCACTCGGTGGCGTAGTGCAGCACGGAGGCCGTGGGCATCAGGGAGATGGGGCCGTAGGGCTTGAGCTCCGGAGCGGCCCAGCCGGTCGAAGCGTTCCAGGAGACGGCGACCATGTGGTCGGTGGCGATGGTCTCGGTGCCGGCATGAGCCGTGGCTTCATCAGGGACTGGACGCGGGTTCTTCGTCCGCTCAAAAGTCAGCTTGGAAGCGTCCAGCTCCTGAAGCTTGGTCTCGACATGGCCGTTCTTAAGGGGTGCAGAGCCCAGCTTGTGCTCAATGGCCATCGACGTCAGGTCCACATCCTGCTCGCCCTTGTGCTGGGAGGGGGATATCGGGGATGCAGCAGAGGGAGCCATCCTAGTATCTTGTATTAAAACGGGGGCCCAATTTGATTTGAGATAGACGAGATCGAACACTTGTGGTCCCAGCAATGTGGTACAAACTCGTGACTGGAGGTGTGAAGACAAATATCAAAGACAAAGAGGGAGAGCCTCAGGACCAAAAAGGAAGGACGGGTCGAAGTTTAAAAAGGGACACACCCCGTCAAGGTGCCGCACTTACACAATAGCGTGAACGGTCTGGGCAGGGTGACTCAGAAGCCAATTGGAATGGGGACGGGGTCACGGAAAGGGCGTTTGGATAATGCACCAGAACGTGGGAGGATGATGCATGAGAGAAAGAAAACGGCATGTCCTCCCGTGGACGGCGCCGAAAGTGAGTCCGTTTGCTTGAAGCCCCCCGATTACCCACATTGATGGCGTCTCCGTCTAAGTCGATATGCCGGAGATAGGCGGCCACTGGACCCTCCTTCCACATTCTGGAAACAGATCGCGAACGATGTGATAGATCCTTTGCGCTTCCCCAGTCTGCGATAGGCTACTCACTATCTCAATTAGCGGCTCATGACACTGGAGCAGCTCTGATAGTGCCGCCTAAGCCGATTGGCAATTAATGGATCGCAACGCTCGCCGTTGCGCAGTGACGGTAGTAGCTGATTGTTCTCTGGGGCTTCTCGAAGGCGATCGGCCGTGCTGAATTTGCCATCTTGCGTCACACAGGCAACATTGCCCCTGTTTCCAATTGACCGTCTAGCCCTGGTCCCGACATCGCTGAAGAGACCTGTATGCACGAATTTTTTAAGCGTTTTCACCTGAAAAATGGGTCACTTCCAAGTGGCGCAGAGTCACGACTCAATTGATGGTTTAGAGAGGCCGGATGCTGCTCTCTGGCCTGGAAGGAATTCGTCCACGGAGGCGGAATGCGTGCTGAAGACCGAATGTAGCCGCTGGTAGACGGCAATTGCCTTTTTGAGCTCCACACCGCTAAGTGACCAGCACTCTCAATACTGAGCAGGCCGTATCACGGGTTCCTCGGGAACTTGGCACTAGTCAATCAAATCACCTCCGTCTGTTATCAGTTCCCCCTCAAATCTAATGCAACGTGTAAGCGTGCTCATTGCGCGTTTGCGTGCATCATGCTGCCGGCGATCGTGATCACCACCCTGCGAGCACGGAGCTGCCCCCGTGATGTGGAAGTCCGTATCTGTCTCCAATTCTTTGACTTCATTGGCTCCTTAATAAGTTTGAGTTGCATAGCGATTGTTTGACTACCCGCCCTACAGACAGAGCCGCTTGTAAATACATCTACGGTGTGAAGTGACAGACGACCGCCCCATCTACTGATACATAGTGCTCATATGTTTGGCAATACAATTCACTTTCCATGGGTTCTAGCTTATCTAAGAAAGTAGAGAAAAATCGCTCAAATATAATCAGATGTCCAGCTCGACGAACCCGACCTATATCGGTCGACCATGGAAGCTAGAGGAGAAGCCTAATAGTGCCGTGAAAGCCGTATCTCTGCCTAACGCTGCTTTCATAAATGGCAGACAAAGATTCGGCCTAAGTCTGATCTACGTCGTCTCGAGTGTCGAAAATTTCGAAGTCCAGACTCAGTGAGTCAACGAAGAAATTATCAGATACACCAATTCCGCTCCCATAAGCGGAGGCCAGCGCCTCACTAGATGTCTCATTCCTACCACCGGCCAGCTCATCTCTTGGCGAGTCCACACATGTCAAAATGGGATCCGCCGGTATACGACTCTCAGCTGGGTGCGTACCAACGTGGGCACCCAGTACTACCAGATTAGCATGGCGAGCTCTAGACGAAGGCAGGTCTGAGCCTGAGTTGGTTGAGCGTGTTGCGTTTATGCTTGCGGGAAGGTAGGGCTCGCTCAGGAAAGATAGCTGGCCAGGATCAGATGTAAATGCATTCGAAATTCGCGAAGTTGAATGTGGGTTGTGAAGTGACTGTGATGGTGATATTAAATAATTCGTTCGATCATCAGTCGAGATCGGTGTTGACGGCACGAGTGCCTGTGGTTCTTGTTGTACGATAGAACTAGTCTGCTCTCTCCACTGGTCGACCACGTGTCTGATCGCACCCTGTACGATTCGCGCTTGAAAGGCAGGTATATCTGCCTCCTCATTTCTTCCTATATTCCATGTAACGTGGAATCCGATTGCATCTAAGATCACCCTTGTTCCTGGGCCATCCAGGTAATCAACTAGCGTTGTCAACTGATCCGAAAGTCCTCTATCAATATAGGGTGATGACGGGCGAGGATAGCCTGGAAACAATATCTCAAACACGCTGAACCATTGCTCTTCGCTGGAGACTTTGGCCGATACCCTGTTTGCTAGCGCCGCTCTCTGGTCTTCTGTGATTCCGTCTATGAGACGCGGAGAACACGGCGTACATATTGCTGTTCGGACGTGAGTATCCCTTGCGGCCTCATTCTCAAATTCTTGATAACACCGAGGGCAATATATTGGACGCCTATGACACCTGATTATATGCTGCTTGACGTCTCTGATCCTCCGAAGGAGGTAATTATAGCAAGCTTGGTATCTGATTGAATCGTATTTGCAGAATGGGCACGCGAATGACACGCAATTTTCATGAAGCCGTTGTCGCTTGTTCGAACTGACGAAATGAAAGCCGTCCTCTGAGTCTTTACTTGATTGACTTGCACCATTTCGCTTTCTTGTATTGTGCTGAGAGTTCACCCCTTGACTGCATACGGGGTATCGTGTATTTGAGATTGATGATTGGGCTGCTTCCTCTGCCCCATCTCTAGGTGCTTGCTGAGAATAGAATGTGTCTAATACATCTTTGACAATCTCATTTTCATATTTTAGGAAAGGATGTCCTTCAGGGAGGTCAGGCGCATCTGGTGGATAGTCTGTATCCCAAAAATCGGTACTGTTAGAAGTGGAAGACCCTCCAGTCGAAGACTTCGTCTCGTCTTTCAATTCGTCATCGTTGTCATCGAACCGGATGGCATCTGCCATGAGTGATCCAGCCACTAAGGGTTTGTCGTAACCCGGAGCTTTATCATTCGCTTCCTCGACCTTCTTTGCCATCTCGCAGGGAATCCCTCCGGTCACGGAAGATGTTTGATCATCACTGTTCAACAATATCCATTCATCCGATGACATTCCAGAATACGGAGGACAATGTCCGGCAGGCTGGCCTGCCGACACACCACCAGAATCGTGGAATTCTTCGTATAACGACTCCACATGGCAGTTGTAGCAGCGAACGTGCCCACAACCAAAAGCTGAACAACTCATGTCAAATTGAGAATTTAAGGGAGCCATCATACAGTGGCACTATCATAATCGCGATGGTGAGCCTAAAAATCTCGCTACTACAGTATTCTCGTTACTTACACATGTCCATGTCTGACGTATTAGATTCGGCGTCTTGATGAGTGTTCTTGCTCCCCTGTCTTTCCCATGATTATATCTTTGTTGTCCAGTGCTCTTGTCCTTGAGGTAAACCGATCATATGTAGAGAAGCGCAAACACGATCCGACAAGTTTTCTAGCTCTCTCAAAGTCAACGTGTCTTAGCATAAATTGTGTCTGGTGGCATGCTTACCAGTTGGATAAAACTTGAACGAGGCTTCCGAGAGAGCACATTGTGGTCTCACAGAAAAAAGAACCTCCTGACCAATCAAACCCAACACCGACTTTGTTAAGACAAACTGTACGCACACAAGTCCATCTTTCAAATCGTGCTCTTCGTATATTGTGCTATGTTCATGAGATGATCAGCTTGAATTGGGCTATTTTGCTAGTCGTTTATTTTCACAGAATGCTAGTGAGAACTTATATAAAAATGGACGGAAATTTCATATCGAGATGCCTTCTTCTAGTTCCTATGTATCTAGGGATGAAGAACAATCACCAATCTGTTGCTTAGCGTATCAGATTGATATCGATAATGTCAGCAATATCAGCCGCCGTGACTGAAGAGATGTGAGTTCACCCTTTCTAAAAATTAAAAAAAAAAAAAAATCACAATCGTGTCTAAAGCTTAGTGCCACTTAGACCGTCATCGACGGGTCTTTCAGAGGCGATGCAGTCCTTCCTTACAAGCCCGCCAACTCTGGCCGAGAGCCTCGTAACAGCAACGAGCTCCTTTAGCAGTACTAATTCGAATCGCTTGGAACAAACTCTGACAAGACTCGAAAAGTGGAATAAAGAATGGGCAGATGCAGCGAAAGGGAAGCCAAAGGCCACGTGAGCCTAGGAATGTGATGCAAGGATAGCTGCCATTTGAGGTGCTTCTGTCAAGTCGTAAAGACAACGGCGCCTGCTTGAGGATGAGGGCATGCGCCGGTCTCTCTGACTGTAGACTAATTTGAAAATCTCTTGGGCGGGGCTTGGAGGCATAGCCATGGCCGCATCTATTGTCGACATTGACATATACGCTGGGAATTGATGGCTAGATCAACTGTTCCGCATCTCTCATATTGAAAAGTTATAACAATACTTGAGGGGAGAGCATTGCTTAGCGCCGAGCTTGATAGTGAATGATTTCAGGCTTCATGACAGTGTCGTGAGGTTAGGCAATGCTGGCAATATGCCAGAACCAGCTGCGGCAGGCCTGACAGGCGTGTTTAGCGGTGTACCTATCAGGACCTGAACTCGATCATCGGCGGGCAAATCCCTCAGTGCCTCAATCAATGTACTGTAGATCTATCGAGATGCGAGATTAACCAATCGTGCAGACATGTCCTCAGGCCAGCAGACAGTGACTCGAGTGAGACCTGACCTAGCAACAAACCAGACCAACTCTGCCGGCTACACAGCAATCCACACTGCTGAGCTCGCTGAGCTCTCGCTGTTCCTAGGGCATCTGTCCTAGGGGACCGATGACTCCCCCTTAACCTTAACGTTATCTCGAGCTGAGATGGGGCTGGCCAATTTGTCGGGAATGTGGAGAATGGCATTTGTTGGACTCTTGACTAGACTCGAACGAGCCCGCGGAAGGCCTGCCGAATCCTGGCGGTCAGGACGGGCTGGGATGCCAGTGTCCGCTGAGTGGCCCAAGCTTCTCTCAACGAACCGGGACCTCTGCTATTCAGGACCCCACTGAGTTGCATATAGATGGGTCCCATCAGGGAATCTGGGGAACGTTGAGAACATCAGTCATATCATCAGTACCTATGTACTGTCTTATCAGTCGGTCAGTCATAACAAGAATAAAAGGGGGGTGGATTGTCAAGAGTGTCCTCTTTACTGTCGATTTAACATTAATTGACAAGTCTGTCTGATTGCTTTGCAAAGAGATCTCAAGTGCAACCTGACAACTCTCCCTAATCGAACTTTAGAGTTACGGAAAGGTAACACTGGTGCATTGCCCATCAGCAGAGCTGCAACCCGTTCGAGACAAAGTGGAAAGCTTGATTGGACCATTTCAGACACGGCAGTGCACCATCTGCACCCTCTCTCCGACGTTAAAGCTCCCCCCATCTCCCCATTGCCGGACCTCCGAGCATCAAGTCATTCGATTGATCTGTTCCCCCCTCCCGAGGTTGTCCTCGGAAAGCATCCATTATCTCTACTTAGCCATCTACCTTTTGACTAGAATCAACCTCATCGATACCTCATTCAATTCCTACAAGATCGTTCAAACCTCCAACTACACAATGACGAGAGTGACTGCCCCAATCGCCAAGCTCACCCGCTCCCTGAGCACCACCGCCTCGGCCCCTCGCCCGAGCCATCTCCTCAATGCCTCCAAGACGGCCTCTGCCCGTGTCCGGCAAGAACTAGAGCAGACTGTCGATGGCAGGAGTAGTGACACATCAAGTGTAAGTCTTCTATCATCGAAACCGCCCTACCTGACTCTGTAGACGCTAATGACTATCCGCTTCACCAGACTACCCGCGGCATAACCACCTCCCACCGGCCCGTGCCATCGCCCACCCGCACCATCCCTCTGATGCAGACCTTCCACTCGTCGCCCGGCCAGTCCGCCCGCCTCGACACCAGCTCCATCGACTACGCCGTGCTGCCCTCCACCGCGCAGCTCTACGGCGACAACGCGGCCGCCGACTCGTTCGCCCGCATGCGCGTCCCCCTCCTGCCCGACAACTACAACCCGGACCGCAGCCACCTCGTCGCCGAGGAGCCGGACGCCCCGCTCGCCGAGCCGGAGATCCGCATCGTCGCCGCCGACCCGGCCAAGGTGCTGCCCGCCGCGCTGACCGAGGTCGAGGGCTTCGGCGTCGATGGTGTTGAGCTCAAGTGGGCGCACGAGGCGGAGCCAGCCGCTGGTGCTCAGCACGCCGAGGGCGGCATGCTGAGGGATCTGTGGAAGGGCCTGGTCGACGATGTCTTTGGCGAGAACAAGGCCAAGCCTGCTCTGTAGCGGTGCTCTCACTCATGATATGATGATGTTCTTTTGAGGAGTCTCTGGAGGTGGTGCTGTGTTTCCGGGACGGTCCATCGTGACCGGCGGTTCGGCGTGATTTGATCCTTCTTTCTCCTGCTTTGGTCTTGCTGGCAAAAGGGTTCT